CTGGACCCTGGTGGACCAACAGGTCTGGACCCTGCAGGTCTGGACCGGGGTGAACAAATGATCTCAGCTGCCTTCTTCCTCTTCTGATCGTCCTCATCCTCGTCCTCTTTCCATCTGGGTCCATCTGCAGATGTTCCTGGTCCTCAGATGGACGTTAATGACAAGAGAGATTTTAGAAATAAATAAAATATTGGAGAGCGTGTTTAACAGGAAGATGGAGGAGAATGTTGCTCCCATTAATGCTGGTTTATATGAAGTCCTTATGGCAGGCTGTTTTAACATTTAATAAAAGCGCTCTCCTCCCTCTTATTCCATTTGTAGATCACTCAAATAGGATTTCTTCTGGTCAGAATAACATTCTTTGACAGAACTATAATAATAGATTTTCAAAATGACATGTTTGCAGCAGAAACTGAATTTCAGAAAGTAGAAAAAAAATCTAAACTCTGCCAGTGAGAATAGTATATATTTATGATAGCTGAAATATGTTTCTTTATTGTCAAAATAATGCAACGGATGGTGGTGCTGCTGCCTTGCAGCAAGAAGGTTCTTGTTCGATTCCCAGCCTGGGGTATCTGTGCATGGAGCTTGCATGTTCTCTCCATGCAGTGTGGCTTCTCTCTGGGCGCTCCGGCTTCCTCCTGCAGTCCAAACTCTGACTCCTTTGGTTAGTTGGCTTCTCTAAATAGTCCTTAGATGAGTGTTTGTGTCTCTGTGTTCCCCGACGGCCTCTCGCCCATAGACTGCCCTGATGAAACAGGCAAGAGTGGCTGCCTGGCTGGCTGGCTGGCTGGCTGGCTGGCTGGCTGGCTTGGCTGGCTGGCTGGCTGGCTGGCTGGCTGGCTGGCTGGCTGGCTTGGCTGGCTGGCTGGCTGGCTGGCTGGCTGGCTGGCTGGCTGGCTGGCTGGCTGGCTGCCTGGCTGGCTGGCTGGCTGGCTGGCTGCCTGCCTGGCTGCCTGCCTGGCTGCCTGGCTGGCTGCCTGGCTGGCTGGCTGGCTGGCTGGCTGGCTGGCTGGCTGGCTGGCTGGCTGCCTGGCTGGCTGGCTGGCTGGCTGGCTGGCTGGCTGGCTGGCTTGGCTGGCTGGCTGGCTGGCTGGCTGGCTGGCTTGGCTGGCTGGCTGGCTGGCTGGCTGGCTGGCTGGCTGGCTGGCTGGCTTGGCTGGCTGGCTGGCTGGCTGGCTGGCTGGCTGGCTGGCTGCCTGGCTGGCTGCCTGGCTGGCTGAAATTCATTTCCAGAAATCCAGAATGTTTATTCCACAAGTTAAGTATGTCATTTTGTTTGAAATGATCATTTTGACAAGGAAAACATGTTTTTATTCAGATATCAGGAATAAATATTCAGTCAGACTAATACATATCAAATGGCCTGCCATAGTCTGCTGTGACCACGATAACAATACGGCTCAACTAGTTTAGTGATTGAATTATAGTGGATCCAGGCATCTGTTTAAGTCAACTCACCTGTCAGCAGGTGGAGTTGAAGAATAAAAACCTTGTTCTAACAGGAAGGACCTGTCCATCATCTCATGGGTTCCTCTTCAGGTTGATTCTGTCTGACTGAGCGGGTGTTTTCTATGATGTTGTTATCTGTCATCAATGTTCTCTCCCTGATATTATCCAGTCCTGTTAGAGACGCCTGTGATGCTCCTAATGAGTATTTTTTAATTCATTTTTTCTATTCTCATGGCCTTTGATCCAGTTGATCAGAATATTCTTTAGAAAGACTTGAACAGCAGAGATATTGCCAATAAACCAAACACTACGGAACGGTTGCTCAGAAAGTAGGACCCAGAATTCCTGCAGACAGAACAGATGTCTTAAAATGAAACACTATATTGACTCATTAAAGGAATAGTACACCCAAAACATGATTAGCCTTCATTTTCTACTCACCCCCATGCTGAACAACACTCTGGAGTACTTTTTTGATATCTCAAATGCATCTGGAGATCTGGGAGGCTTCTTGCTGTCTGCTGACATTCAAATAATGGAGGTCTATGGCGCCCGAGACAGAAAGGTCCATAAAAGTCCACAAAAAACGTGTCAATATTCCTCCATACTGCTCGTCCAATGTATTCCAAGTGTCCTGAGTGGGTAGCGTCCATAATTTACTCGAAACGAAGTCATTTAGAATGTTTTTAGAGCATAAACAGTAGTGTATAGGATTTCCTGAAAGCACGGAAACCACGGCAGACCAAACCAGATGAAAGTGCGCATTCAGCTCGGCAAAGAACTCATGCTCTTCCTCAACACTGAAGTCCTCAGACATTTTTCTTTCGTTGTTTCTTTCTTTGCACAGGTAAACAGCACATTTCTTCTTCTACGCTTGCATTATCGGCAGAGCAGACGCTGAATGCGCACTTTCATCTGGCTTGGTCTGCCGCGGTTTCCGTAGACTCGTGAACGCGCTTTCAGGAAATCCTATACACTACCGTTTATGCTCTAAAAACATTCTAAATGACTTCGTTTCGAGTAAATTCTGGACGCTACCCACTCAGGACACTTGGAATACATTGGACGAGCAGTATGGAGGAATATTGACACGTTTTTTGTGGACTTTTATGGACCTTTCTGCCTCGGGCGCCATAGACCTCCATTATTTGAATGTCAGCAGACAGCAAGAAGCCTCCCAGATCTCCAGATGCATTTGAGATATCAAAAAAGTACTCCAGAGTGTTGTTCAGCATGGGGGTGAGTAGAAAATGAAGGCTAATCATGTTTTGGGTGTACTATTCCTTTAAGTTGCGGCTCATCAGCTGGAACCGGCGTACTGGATTCTCTGTGGAAATGGATACTCAGGTTTGTGAACACGAAACTGTGACTGTGAACACTAGTGAGCATGTGACTCACTAACCTGGTTCTTAGTTCTGTCCGTGTCCAGAATCTAGAAACTAGTCAGATGATTTCCCCACAGCATGCGGCGGGAGCCGCCCAGAGAGTTCCATGAGTGAAGCAGGCAAGGCTGACGAGCAGAAGCCAGCAGACGAGGAAGAGCAGAAGCATCTGGACGGATAATCAAGAGCAGGTGACGACGGAGAAGCAGATGTCCAGACCAGAAGATCAGAGAGATGAAGAGTTACCAAAGGGGAGTCCAAGCTGGGGTCAGGGGACAGATCCCAGGTCGTTAACAGCAGTCAGAACACAGAAACAGGCAGAAACAGACCAGAACAGGGGCAGACCAAAACTCAGGAGTCCAGAGACAGAAACCAGAGTCAGGATCAGGTAGAGACCTCTCACAATCAGCTCAAATAATCCAGCACTGATGGCTGGAAACAGAAAGCTTAAATTGGAAGCAGAACAGGTGGATCAGATGAGAGCACATGAAAACTGGGTGGAGCTAAGCAGATGGAAGGAATGAACTAATAATCCAGTCATCAGTGGCAAGAGCATGACAGTTGTGGGAATAAACCATTAAATGTTTATTCCCACACGGATTCCAAGAAGGTTCATGACTTTATTTCCATTTCTCAGTTGTCATTGAGATCGTACCCAGTCACTAACCTGATTATTCTTTATGAGAGGTTCCATTTCCAGCTGCTCATTGGGTTCCTGCTCACTTACTTTATACACAGATTAGTTAAAAGTAAAAGACTGTGTGGTTGGATTCTCGGTCAGGTAAATTACAGAAACCAGCCGCTGGACTATAGGCATGAAAATCTGGATGACTCAACTTTCAGAAAAACATACAGTGTCTTTCCTCTACAGTAGAGTGGCTCAGGTTATCCTGAGCTATCTCTATAGTTCTGCTGCTATAGGCTTAGACTGCTGGAGGACATAGGGACCCCCATTTCATCATTCTGCTTCATTCTATCTCTATTCTCCCACTCTGCAGAATCTGTTAGTTCAATCTCTACGTTCTGCTCTCTCTGCTTTTTCTCATAGTAGCTTCATCTGGTCTGTTCCTGTTTGGCTGTGACTCCATCCTGGAGAGAAATATCAGCTGTGCTGCTGCCATCAACACCTTTGTTTATAGATGTTGGAGCTTGGCCTGTTTTCCAGTGTAGTCCTGTTTCTCTGACTGTGACTAACTGGATGTGCTCTCTTCATCCTCTGACATGGGAGCTGGCTCGGAGCTCGTCTGCCTGGCTGTGTGTTTCCTGGACGGGGCCGCCTGTGGAGCTTGTTGACAGTTGCCTTTTGTATCTATGCTTCTTTTTCTATGTCTGCTTCTGTCTCCTTGAACCCCAGTGGGCCTCAGCAGATGGCCGCTCACACTGAGCCTGGTTCTGCTGGAGGTTTCTTCCTGTTCAAAGGGAGTTTTTCCTCTCCACTGTCGCTACAAGCATGCTTAGTGTGAGGGATTGCTGAAGAGTCAATGAGTCAATGCAATCAGCTGGTTTTCCTTAGATAGAAAACTTTGAGCTTGAGATATCAAAAAAAAAGTCTGCACAAGAAAAGCACATGTAGCACGAGACAGACATTTCAGCAGAGGGTCACATCGGAGGCGGAGCCACATGAAGTCAATCTGACATTTGAGACATTAGTTGTAGTTTTATGATGAGTGCGTTTAATTTTTCCCTGAACGCTGACCACAGGCCATGATCCTCGATGAGATGTTAGCGGGGGGGGCCGGTCCTCCATCATAAACCATCAAACTGGACTGAACTGGAATCCATGGTCCACAATACCTTTAATCAGGATCTGATTTAAAGCTGCAGGAAGCGTTTACAGGATGAAGCGTTTTCTGCTCTGTGCCCAAATTTATACGACTATTTGAATATTTTATTATAAACTTTCTTTAAATCCTATGAACTTCATATGATTTCTCAAACATCACCGTCTTCATCTACTTTATTATATATAAAACTGAAACAGCTGATCTAAAAACCAAGGAAACAATAAAGATGATGAGGGGTGTGCAAACTCTTTCATACCACCGTGAGTGACAGCGAGCGGAAGCAGGTGCGTCATTGTGTGATGTTTTATCTACCGCTGGGTGGCGGTACTGAGCGCTTCTGTTGGCCACCAGCCGCCATTAAACCAGCAGCAGAAGAAGAAGAAGAAGAAGAAGCGGAGCTGAAGGACCGACTGCCTCTAAAGAGAGAAGCCGTGACCCGCAGCAGAATGTTCGGGCCGAACCGGTACCTGAGTGACGGCCGCCGGTGAGCAGCAGCGCGGCGTGGAGCCCTGAAGGCAAGTCTCGCGAGAATGGCAGGCTAACAAGCTAACGGGTTTAGCAGAACCTGCGGGTCCAGATTAGCCCCTGATCAGCGCTGACGGAACCAGACCGTTCAGAACCGGTCAGCTGGACCGGGTTTAAAGAGAACCGGCCCAGTTCGGAGACCACGTGGTCCGGGTCAGAACCAGACCCAGTTCTTCAGAAATATTCATGACTATTTATCCTGTTTTTATAGAAATCAGAGGATCAACTTCAGCTTTTTACTGCAGTAAAAGCTTTAAAAACTACTGAAAGTAAACTAGCGGGTCCCCGGTTCGATTCCCACAGCCTGTATTATAGAATGTGTTTTATCTTCCATATTTTATCAGGTGATCACTTCAATTATAACCAAATAAGAAGTTTAATAAAGTAGAAATACCTGGCAGACCAGAGCCTCCAGAGGAGACCTAGAGATCCTCCCCCCAGAAGATCAACCTTTGGACAAACCCTTCTATCAGTCAGGGGGGGTCACTTCTGGAACAGCCTCCCATCAAACATCAGGGAATGTCCCACTTATTGCACGTTTAAAAAGCACCTTTCTTAAAAGCTCCCAGTCATGCACTCACTATTGTTATTGTTGTGACGTCATCGTCTGAACGTGTATCTGTGTGTTTTCACTAATCTGTTTTATGTGATCTTGTGTTGTTTTGTCTTCCTGCCTCAGATGGAAATGAGCAACTATGCTATAATCTGGCTCATTTACAATCTGTACAGAAGTTTAAGATTGTTCATTAATGTGCTCTTTCCTGATTAAAGAAATAAAATAAAATATATACCAGCAGTGGCGGAAATATGACCAGCCTGGACTCCATGTCAGAGTTTTAACATTTATGACATTTAAACTCCTACATTCTGTGACTTTGCACTCATCCATCTGTCAGGTGTAGCAGCAGATGATATAAACCGTCCCAAACTGTTCCCTGTAGAGATCACTGCTAACGGGACGAGCCTCGCTGCCATGTTGGAACAAAGGTGTGTTTTGATCAGCTTCAGCAAAGTGATCTCTGGGATTCACAGTCTACCTGGACTGGATCCTCGAGGGACCCGGTCTACCTGGATCCTCGAGGGACCCGGTCTACCAGGACTGGATCCTCTAGGGACCCGGTCTACCAGGACTGGATCCTCGAGGGACCCGGTCTACCTGGACTGGATCCTCGAGGGACCCGGTCTACCTGGACTGGATCCTTCGAAGTCCTTGAAAATAAGGAGACCGGAAGAGTTTAGTCTGTGAATTCGAACAGCTCTACCCTTCGGTGGGTTTTACCGCTGTGGCTCTGTTGCTTAGCAACCGTGAAAGTTGACACAAAAAGCAGGAAAAGAATGAAAACCGAAGTTTTCAAAACTGTTTATTTCTTTTTTATTGTGAGGTGAACAAAGACTCACAAGAATCCAGAGTGGAATAAATGTTCCAACCAGCGGGAACTAATCAATCAAATGTAATGATAGAAACCTCAGTCAGTTCAATAACCTGCTGCTGTCATTCTGCACATCTCTGATGTTGCTGCTATTTTCTAATTACTGTAAAAATGTCCATAGCTGCATATTGGTTATTTATTCTCCAGTTTTATATTGTTAAAACACTTTACAGGATTTTATTGTTTATATTTTAACTCTTCCCTATTATGTTATTCTTTATTCTATTGTGTGACCATTTTCAATAATCTTTCTGCTGCTGTAAATCTGCCCATTGTGGGACAATAAAGGGATTTTCTATTCTATTCTATAAAAGGGGTAGAAAGATAGAAGTAAATCTAAAAAATGTATTAAAAATATATCTGCAAAATCTCTAATATTCAACAACAAAAAGTACTTAGTGAAGCATATTGTGCAAAACAGCAATAAAAAATAAAACTATCAGATTTATAGCCCCCCCCCTGCAGATATATTACCGTTCAAAGTCTGGAGTCGCCACAATATTCTGTGTTTTACTGAAAAGTCTCAGTTATTCACCACGTTGTGAAATGAATAGAAAATAATGATTAGATGCTTAAAAATAAACTATTTTAATTGAAATAAGATTTTTTTACAGCAAACTTTGCTTTCGTCAAAGAATCCTCCATTGGCAGCAATTACAGCATTGCAGACCTTTGGCTACTGGGAGGACTGGGACTGGGCCCTGGCTCCTCTACTGGGAGTATTGGGACTGGGCCCTGGCTCCTCTACTGGGAGTATTGGGACTGGGCCCTGGCTCCTCTACTGGGAGTATTGGGACTGGGCCCTGGCTCCTCTACTGGGAGTATTGGGACTGGGTCCTGGCTCCTCTACTGGGAGTATTGGGACTGGGTCCTGGCTCCTCTACTGGGAGTATTGGGACTGGGCCCTGGCTCCTCTACTGGGAGGACTGGGACTGGGCCCTGACTCTTTTAGTGGGAGTATTGGGACTGGGCCCTGACTCCTCTACTGGGAGTATTGGGACTGGGCCCTGACTCCTCTACTGGGAGTATTGGGACTGGGCCCTGGCTCCTCTACTGGGAGTATTGGGACTGGGTCCTGGCTCCTCTACTGGGAGTATTGGGACTGGGCCCTGGCTCCTCTACTGGGAGGACTGGGACTGGGCCCTGACTCTTTTAGTGGGAGTATTGGGACTGGGCCCTGACTCTTTTAGTGGGAGTATTGGGACTGGGCCCTGGCTCCTTTAGTGGGAGTATTGGGACTGGGTCCTGGCTCCTCTACTGGGAGTATTGGGACTGGGCCCTGGCTCCTCTACTGGGAGTATTGGGACTGGGCCCTGGCTCCTCTACTGGGAGGACTGGGACTGGGCCCTGGCTCTTTTAGTGGGAGTATTGGGACTGGGTCCTGGCTCCTCTACTGGGAGTATTGGGACTGGGCCCTGGCTCCTCTACTGGGAGTATTGGGACTGGGCCCTGGCTCCTCTACTGGGAGGACTGGGACTGGGCCCTGGCTCTTTTAGTGGGAGTATTGGGACTGGGTCCTGGCTCCTCTACTGGGAGTATTGGGACTGGGCCCTGGCTCTTTTAGTGGGAGTATTGGGACTGGGCCCTGGCTCCTTTAGTGGGAGTATTGGGACTGGGTCCTGGCTCCTCTACTGGGAGTATTGGGACTGGGCCCTGGCTCCTCTACTGGGAGTATTGGGACTGGGCCCTGGCTCCTCTACTGGGAGGACTGGGACTGGGCCCTGGCTCTTTTAGTGGGAGTATTGGGACTGGGTCCTGGCTCCTCTACTGGGAGTATTGGGACTGGGCCCTGGCTCCTCTACTGGGAGTATTGGGACTGGGCCCTGGCTCCTCTACTGGGAGGACTGGGACTGGGCCCTGACTCTTTTAGTGGGAGTATTGGGACTGGGCCCTGGCTCCTCTACTGGGAGGACTGGGACTGGGCCCTGGCTCTTTTAGTGGGAGTATTGGGACTGGGCCCTGGCTCCTCTACTGGGAGTATTGGGACTGGGCCCTGGCTCCTCTACTGGGAGTATTGGGACTGGGCCCTGGCTCCTCTACTGGGAGTATTGGGACTGGGCCCTGGCTCCTCTACTGGGAGTATTGGGACTGGGCCCTGGCTCCTCTACTGGGAGTATTGGGACTGGGCCCTGGCTCCTCTACTGGGAGTATTGGGACTGGGCCCTGGCTCCTCTACTGGGAGTATTGGGACTGGGCCCTGGCTCCTCTACTGGGAGTATTGGGACTGGGCCCTGACTCCTCTACTGGGAGTATTGGGACTGGGCCCTGACTCCTCTACTGGGAGTATTGGGACTGGGTCCTGGCTCCTCTACTGGGAGTATTGGGACTGGGCCCTGGCTCCTCTACTGGGAGGACTGGGACTGGGCCCTGACTCCTCTACTGGGAGTATTGGGACTGGGCCCTGGCTCCTCTACTGGGAGGACTGGGACTGGGCCCTGGCTCCTCTACTGGGAGTATTGGGACTGGGCCCTGGCTCCTCTACTGGGAGTATTGGGACTGGGTCCTGGCTCCTCTACTGGGAGTATTGGGACTGGGCCCTGGCTCCTCTACTGGGAGGACTGGGACTGGGCCCTGACTCCTCTACTGGGAGTATTGGGACTGGGTCCTGGCTCCTCTACTGGGAGTATTGGGACTGGGCCCTGGCTCCTCTACTGGGAGGACTGGGACTGGGCCCTGACTCCTCTACTGGGAGTATTGGGACTGGGCCCTGGCTCCTCTACTGGGAGTATTGGGACTGGGCCCTGACTCCTCTACTGGGAGTATTGGGACTGGGTCCTGGCTCCTCTACTGGGAGTATTGGGACTGGGCCCTGGCTCCTCTACTGGGAGTATTGGGACTGGGCCCTGGCTCTTTTAGTGGGAGTATTGGGACTGGGTCCTGGCTCCTCTACTGGGAGTATTGGGACTGGGCCCTGGCTCCTCTACTGGGAGTATTGGGACTGGGTCCTGGCTCCTCTACTGGGAGTATTGGGACTGGGCCCTGGCTCCTCTACTGGGAGGACTGGGACTGGGCCCTGACTCCTCTACTGGGAGTATTGGGACTGGGCCCTGGCTCCTCTACTGGGAGTATTGGGACTGGGCCCTGACTCCTCTACTGGGAGTATTGGGACTGGGTCCTGGCTCCTCTACTGGGAGTATTGGGACTGGGCCCTGGCTCCTCTACTGGGAGGACTGGGACTGGGCCCTGACTCTTTTAGTGGGAGTATTGGGACTGGGCCCTGGCTCCTCTACTGGGAGTATTGGGACTGGGTCCTGGCTCCTCTACTGGGAGGACTGGGACTGGGCCCTGGCTCTTTTAGTGGGAGTATTGGGACTGGGCCCTGGCTCCTCTACTGGGAGGACTGGGACTGGGCCCTGGCTCCTCTACTGGGAGTATTGGGACTGGGCCCTGGCTCCTCTACTGGGAGGACTGGGACTGGGCCCTGACTCTTTTAGTGGGAGTATTGGGACTGGGTCCTGGCTCCTCTACTGGGAGTATTGGGACTGGGCCCTGGCTCCTCTACTGGGAGTATTGGGACTGGGCCCTGGCTCCTCTACTGGGAGGACTGGGACTGGGCCCTGACTCTTTTAGTGGGAGTATTGGGACTGGGTCCTGGCTCCTCTACTGGGAGTATTGGGACTGGGTCCTGGCTCCTCTACTGGGAGTATTGGGACTGGGCCCTGGCTCCTCTACTGGGAGTATTGGGACTGGGCCCTGGCTCCTCTACTGGGAGTATTGGGACTGGGTCCTGGCTCCTCTACTGGGAGGACTGGGACTGGGCCCTGGCTCTTTTAGTGGGAGTATTGGGACTGGGCCCTGGCTCCTCTACTGGGAGGACTGGGACTGGGCCCTGGCTCTTTTAGTGGGAGTATTGGGACTGGGTCCTGGCTCCTCTACTGGGAGTATTGGGACTGGGTCCTGGCTCCTCTACTGGGAGTATTGGGACTGGGCCCTGGCTCCTCTACTGGGAGTATTGGGACTGGGCCCTGGCTCCTCTACTGGGAGTATTGGGACTGGGTCCTGGCTCCTCTACTGGGAGGACTGGGACTGGGCCCTGGCTCTTTTAGTGGGAGTATTGGGACTGGGCCCTGGCTCTTTTAGTGGGAGTATTGGGACTGGGTCCTGGCTCCTCTACTGGGAGGACTGGGACTGGGCCCTGGCTCTTTTAGTGGGAGTATTGGGACTGGGCCCTGGCTCTTTTAGTGGGAGTATTGGGACTGGGTCCTGGCTCCTCTACTGGGAGGACTGGGACTGGGCCCTGGCTCTTTTAGTGGGAGTATTGGGACTGGGCCCTGGCTCTTTTAGTGGGAGTATTGGGACTGGGTCCTGGCTCCTCTACTGGGAGGACTGGGACTGGGCCCTGGCTCCTCTACTGGGAGTATTGGGACTGGGCCCTGGCTCTTTTAGTGGGAGTATTGGGACTGGGTCCTGGCTCCTCTACTGGGAGTATTGGGACTGGGCCCTGACTCCTCTACTGGGAGTATTGGGACTGGGCCCTGACTCCTCTACTGGGAGTATTGGGACTGGGCCCTGGCTCCTCTACTGGGAGTATTGGGACTGGGCCCTGGCTCCTCTACTGGGAGTATTGGGACTGGGCCCTGGCTCCTCTACTGGGAGGACTGGGACTGGGCCCTGACTCTTTTAGTGGGAGTATTGGGACTGGGCCCTGGCTCTTTTAGTGGGAGTATTGGGACTGGGCCCTGGCTCCTCTACTGGGAGTATTGGGACTGGGTCCTGGCTCCTCTACTGGGAGGACTGGGACTGGGCCCTGGCTCTTTTAGTGGGAGTATTGGGACTGGGCCCTGGCTCTTTTAGTGGGAGTATTGGGACTGGGTCCTGACTCCTCTACTGGGAGTATTGGGACTGGGCCCTGACTCCTCTACTGGGAGTATTGGGACTGGGCCCTGGCTCTTTTAGTGGGAGTATTGGGACTGGGTCCTGGCTCCTTTAGTGGGAGTATTGGGACTGGGTCCTGGCTCCTCTACTGGGAGGACTGGGACTGGGCCCTGGCTCCTCTACTGGGAGTATTGGGACTGGGCCCTGGCTCTTTTAGTGGGAGTATTGGGACTGGGTCCTGGCTCTTTTAGTGGGAGTATTGGGACTGGGCCCTGACTCCTCTACTGGGAGTATTGGGACTGGGCCCTGACTCCTCTACTGGGAGTATTGGGACTGGGCCCTGGCTCCTCTACTGGGAGTATTGGGACTGGGCCCTGACTCCTCTACTGGGAGTATTGGGACTGGGCCCTGGCTCCTCTACTGGGAGTATTGGGACTGGGCCCTGACTCCTCTACTGGGAGTATTGGGACTGGGCCCTGGCTCCTCTACTGGGAGTATTGGGACTGGGTCCTGGCTCCTCTACTGGGAGTATTGGGACTGGGCCCTGGCTCCTCTACTGGGAGTATTGGGACTGGGCCCTGACTCCTCTACTGGGAGTATTGGGACTGGGCCCTGGCTCCTCTACTGGGAGTATTGGGACTGGGTCCTGGCTCCTCTACTGGGAGTATTGGGACTGGGCCCTGACTCCTCTACTGGGAGTATTGGGACTGGGCCCTGACTCCTCTACTGGGAGTATTGGGACTGGGTCCTGGCTCCTCTACTGGGAGGACTGGGACTGGGCCCTGGCTCTTTTAGTGGGAGTATTGGGACTGGGTCCTGGCTCCTCTACTGGGAGGACTGGGACTGGGCCCTGGCTCTTTTAGTGGGAGTATTGGGACTGGGCCCTGGCTCCTCTACTGGGAGTATTGGGACTGGGTCCTGGCTCCTCTACTGGGAGGACTGGGACTGGGCCCTGGCTCTTTTAGTGGGAGTATTGGGACTGGGTCCTGGCTCCTCTACTGGGAGGACTGGGACTGGGCCCTGGCTCTTTTAGTGGGAGTATTGGGACTGGGCCCTGGCTCTTTTAGTGGGAGTATTGGGACTGGGTCCTGGCTCTTTTAGTGGGAGTATTGGGACTGGGCCCTGACTCCTCTACTGGGAGTATTGGGACTGGGCCCTGACTCCTCTACTGGGAGTATTGGGACTGGGCCCTGGCTCTTTTAGTGGGAGTATTGGGACTGGGCCCTGGCTCCTCTAGGGGCCCTGACTCCTCTACTGGGAGTATTGGGACTGGGCCCTGACTCCTCTACTGGGAGTATTGGGACTGGGCCCTGGCTCCTCTACTGGGAGTATTGGGACTGGGTCCTGGCCTCTCTACTGGGAGTATTGGGACTGGGCCCTGGCCTCTCTACTGGGAGTATTGGGACTGGGCCCTGGCTCCTCTACTGGGAGGACTGGGACTGGGCCCTGGCTCCTCTACTGGGAGTACTGGGACTGGGCCCTGGCTCCTCTACTGGGAGTATTGGGACTGGGTCCTGGCTCCTCTACTGGGAGTACTGGGACTGGGTCCTGGCTCCTCTACTGGGAGTATTGGGACTGGGCCCTGGCTCCTCTACTGGGAGTATTGGGACTGGGCCCTGGCTCCTCTACTGGGAGTATTGGGACTGGGCCCTGACTCCTCTACTGGGAGTATTGGGACTGGGTCCTGGCTCCTCTACTGGGAGTATTGGGACTGGCCCTGGCTCCTCTACTGGGAGTATTGGGACTGGGTCCTGGCTCCTCTACTGGGAGTATTGGGACTGGGCCCTGGCTCCTCTAGTGGGAGTATTGGGACTGGGCCCTGGCTCCTCTAGGGGCCCTGGCTCCTCTAGTGGGAGTATTGGGACTGGGCCCTGGCTCCTCTACTGGGAGTATTGGGACTGGGCCCTGGCTCCTCTAGTGGGAGTATTGGGACTGGGCCCTGGCTCCTCTAGTGGGAGTATTGGGACTGGGCCCTGGCTCCTCTACTGGGAGTATTGGGACTGGGCCCTGGCTCCTCTACTGGGAGTATTGGGACTGGGCCCTGGCTCCTCTAGTGGGAGTATTGGGACTGGGCCCTGGCTCCTCTAGGGGCCCTGGCTCCTCTAGTGGGAGTATTGGGACTGGGCCCTGGCTCCTCTAGTGGGAGTATTGGGACTGGGCCCTGGCTCGTCTAGGGGCCCTGGCTCCTCTACTGGGAGTATTGGGACTGGGCCCTGGCTCCTCTAGTGGGAGTATTGGGACTGGGCCCTGGCTCCTCTAGGGGCCCTGGCTCCTCTAGTGGGAGTATTGGGACTGGGCCCTGGCTCCTCTAGGGGCCCTGGCTCCTCTACTGGGAGTATTGGGACTGGGCCCTGGCTCCTCTAGTGGGAGTATTGGGACTGGGCCCTGGCTCCTCTAGTGGGAGTATTGGGACTGGGCCTTGGCTCCTCTAGGGGCCCTGGCTCCTCTACTGGGAGTATTGGGACTGGGCCCTGGCTCCTCTAGTGGGAGTATTGGGACTGGGCCCTGGCTCCTCTAGTGGGAGTATTGGGACTGGGCCCTGGCTCCTCTAGGGGGAGTATTGGGACTGGGTCCTGGCTCCTCTATATTTGGAGTATTGGGACTGGGTCCTGGCTCCTCTAGTGGGAGTATTGGGACTGGGCCCTGGCTCCTCTAGTGGGAGTATTGGGACTGGGCCCTGGCTCCTCTAGGGGCCCTGGCTCCTCTAGTGGGAGTATTGGGACTGGGCCCTGGCTCCTCTAGTGGGAGTATTGGGACTGGGCCCTGGCTCCTCTAGGGGCCCTGGCTCCTCTAGTGGGAGTATTGGGACTGGGTCCTGGCTCCTCTAGTGGGAGTATTGGGACTGGGCCCTGGCTCCTCTAGTGGGAGTATTGGGACTGGGCCCTGGCTCCTCTAGTGGGAGTATTGGGACTGGGCCCTGGCTCCTCTAGTGGGAGTATTGGGACTGGGCCCTGGCTCCTCTAGTGGGAGTATTGGGACTGGATCCTGGCTCCTCTAGTGGGAGTATTGGGACTGGGTCCTGGCTCCTCTAGTGGGAGTATTGGGACTGGGTCCTGGCTCCTTTAGTGGGAGTATTGGGACTGGGTCCTGGCTCCTTTAGTGGGAGTATTGGGACTGGGTCCTGGCTCATCTAGTGGGAGTATTGGGACTGGGTCCTGGCTCCTCTAGTGGGAGTATTGGGACTGGGTCCTGGCTCATCTAGTGGGAGTATTGGGACTGGGTCCTGGCTCATCTAGTGGGAGTATTGGGACTGGGTCCTGGCTCCTTTAGTGGGAGTATTGGGACTGGGTCCTGGCTCCTTTAGTGGGAGTATTGGGACTGGGTCCTGGCTCCTCTAGTGGGAGTATTGGGACTGGGTCCTGGCTCATCTAGTGGGAGTATTGGGACTGGGTCCTGGCTCCTTTAGTGGGAGTATTGGGACTGGGTCCTGGCTCCTTTAGTGGGAGTATTGGGACTGGGTCCTGGCTCCTTTAGTGGGAGCATTGGGACTGGGTCCTGGCTCATCTAGTGGGAGTATTGGGACTGGGTCCTGGCTCCTCTAGTGGGAGTATTGGGACTGGGTCCTGGCTCATCTAGTGGGAGTATTGGGACTGGGTCCTGGCTCCTCTAGTGGGAGTATTGGGACTGGGTCCTGGCTCCTCTAGTGGGAGTATTGGGACTGGGTCCTGGCTCCTCTAGTGGGAGTATTGGGACTGGATCTGGACCTTTTGGTTCTGATGACAGTACTTCCTGTTTCAGGTCCAGAGATGCTGCGGCTCCCCCTGCTGGTGACGGCACAGCTGGACCTGCTGCTGCTCCTGGTGACCCTGCTGTCCCTGTGGACCCGACTGGGCGGTCTGGGCCACCCCGGCTCCGTGGTGTGAGTGTGTCTGGGCCTCTCGGTACGTCTGAGTGGTACCAGAACCTTTTCAGAACCTCTCTGTCTGCAGGTTCGATGAAGTCTACTACGGCCCGTTTGTGTCTCTCTACATGAAGGGGCGGTTCTTTGTCGACGACAGCGGCCCACCGCTTGGTCACATGATCCTGGCTCTGGGAGGTTGGTTGCTATGACAACAGGCTGTGATGCCGCAGCGCGGTTTGGTACCAACATCCTGGTTCTGTTCTTCCTGTTCCAGCTTACCTGGGAGGCTTCGACGGGAACTTTGTGTGGAGCCGGATTGGAGCAGGTAACCATGGCGACCGGTCTGGTTTACTTACCCAGAACCACTTCACAGCAGGGGGTGTCCGCAGTCCTACCCGTGTCATTCAGGTCATCAGGATTCTAACCACCCACTTCCTGCACCAGGTAGTAGCAGCTCAGCAGAACCGTTGGGATCCGGTTCTTTCACAGCAGTTCCAGAACCCGGTTTGGGTCGGGTTTAGACCAGGAATCAGGTTCTGTTCATCCTGATCAGTAAACCGACTGCAGAAGTTCCATCGGACCAGAACATCTACAGCAGAACCTTTGTTCTAGAAGCTAGCCAAAGGTTCTCCTTCATGCAGGACGAGCCGAAGATGGCGGGTTTCAGCACCACGGACAGCGACACCATTAGCCCTGAATCTAAGCTGAGGAGGTTCTGATGGGACAGTGAGGGCTCCTTCATGGACCTCCGACTGCTGGTTTGTTCAACATCTCATTCAGGAGGAACAGAAACCATCGATGAAAAACCATGAAAGATGTTCTTCACTGAACCAGAACATCTCAGAGAAGCACTGCGGTCCTCCAGAACCACAGCTGGACTCTGGGATACATGAAGCATCTGCACTGCTGGCTGTGCTTCCTGGTCCGCCTGTAACGGTTCTGGTTCTGTTCTGTCCCAGAGTTCCCCTGCGGTGTGAGCGTCTGGACCCTGCGGCTGCTGCCGGCGCTGGGCGGAGCTCTCTGCGTTCCTCTGGTCTACCTGCTGACGGTGGAGCTGGGATTCTCCCACCTGTCGGCTCTGGGAGCGGCTCTGCTGCTGCTGCTGGGTGAGTCTGCTGCTGGGAGGCGTTCAGGAGCCCCTGGAGGACCGTGTTACGTTCAGGGCCTGAAAGTGATCCAGGTTTCCTGTGGTTTCAGAGAACTCGCTGATCGTCCAATCACGCTTCATGCTCCTGGAGGCCCTCCTCATCTTCTTCATGCTGCTGGCCTTCTTCTCATACCTGCGCTTCCACAACAGCCCCAGCAGGTCAGGACAGTGGGTGGCTCTGACAGCAGGGGGCGCTGTGACCCCGGTCAGCTTCATCTCTGGCTAGAATGTTCTGCCAGCAGACCTGAACGACCAACATGGGTCCATGAAGGAGGAGCAGCTGAGAGTAGAAACTGTCGACCAAAGAACCAGTTCTGATCCTGTCCTCTCCTCAGGTCCTGGTCCAGGTTCTGCTGGCTCCTCCTGTCTGGGGTCTCCTGCTCGGCTGCCGTCGGGTGAGTCCGATCTTCCTGGTGTCTTTGTCACGTTCTCGTCATGTTTACGTGTTTAACGCAGCGTGTTCACGACGGGCCCGACCCGTTTAGGGTGAAGTACATGGGCCTGTCCTCCTACCTGCTGCTCCTGGGCCTGGCCTCTGTGCACAGCTGGAGGCAGATGGGGAACCGGGCCGTGGGTCATGTGAGTGGCGCTCAGTCTGCTGTGAGCACAGAAGGTTCTGACCCGGTTCTGACTGACTGTTCTGTGTCGCTGCAGCTCAGTGTGTTCATCCACTGTGTGCTGAAGGTTCTGTGTCTGCTGGTGGTTCCGGTTCTACTCTACGTGTTCTGGTTCTACGTTCATCTGAGCATCCTCCAGCACAGCGGACCACATGACCAGCTGATGAGCTCCGCCTTCCAGGCCAGCCTGCAGGTAGCCCCGCCCACTTCTTCACAGCCAGACCTGTTCAGCAGCTTTAATGGTTCTGCTAGAACCCGGTCCTCCAGGTCCAGTTTCCTTCAGGTGTCACATGAACCTGGGGGGGTTCTGTTCAGCATTCGGAGGGTCCTCCTGGGATCTTCTAGAACCAGGATGTCAGCCTGGTTCCACTGGCGGCCGTGTGGCGGCTGGGTTTGTCTCCAGTAGATCGCCGTGGCTGATGGAGTCTGCAGGCCTCGGTGGAACCAGTCTGACGGACTGGTTCTAGAAGGAATAGTTCTGTGTGTCCGTCTGTTACTGGTTTGGATGAATACCTGGTTGATCGATGATGATTGATCGTTCCCGCTCTGTCTCAGGGCGGCCTCTCCAGGATCACCAAGGGTCAGCCGTTGGAAGTGGCGTACGGCAGTCAGGTGACGTTAAGAAGCTCCGCCTCTCAGCCCCTCCCCTGCTGGCTCCACTCACATAAAGCCAACTATCCAATCAGGTGCTGCCGGCTCAGTCTTCCCAACAGCCAATGAGAAGCAGCGAAGGAGGAGGCTGGGGAGGTAACTTCCTGTTTTTGTGTTCAGGTATGAGGATGGGCGGGGCAGCTCCCACCAGCAGCAGGTCACCTGTTATCCCTTTAAAGATGTCAACAACTGGTGGATCATCAAAGACCCGGGCAGGTAGGGCGCCTCCAGGACCGGAGCGGACCGGAATGGACCGCTGTTCCAGGTGTATGTTCAGATACAGCAGACATTGATCCCACGCTGCCTGGAAGCATGTAGAGGTTTCTGGATCAGAACCGTCCAACATGGTTCTGGTTCTGTACCGTCTCACTGATGCCTGCTGGGAAACGTGGTCTCATGCAGCAGCTGTCTGTGTGTCAGACAGGAGCTGGTGGTGGACACTCCTCCCCGACCCGTCCGTCACGGTGATGTCATCCAGCTGGTTCATGGGATGACATCCCGCCTCCTCAACAGGTAAACCTTCACCTGCTGTGATGTCATGGTGTCTGAGGACCAGCTGATCCCTCCTCCTCCTTCTCCTCCTCCAGTCATGACGTAGCAGCTCCCATGAGTCCTCAGGCTCAGGAGGTTTCTGGGTACATCGACTTCAACGTCTCCATGGCGGCTCAGAACCTGTGGAGGGTGGTGAGTCTACCTGAGAGGTTCTGATCAACAGCAGGATGCCTGAGCTGATCCTAGGTCATCTGGGCCATCAGAACCAGGAACTGGAATGGTTTCTCATTCCTGTAAACCTGAGGAGCGAAAGGTTCTGGTACCGGGTACTCCAGAAGTCCTGATTAAAGATGGTGGATGTGAGGCGGCAGAGGCTGATCTGGATGATTGACAGCTAACAGCGGCTAACAGCGAGGCCTGACCAGCAAGCTAACGTTTCCTGTGAGGGGGGGCGGTCCCTCCATCAGCCATCTTTAAATGAAACCGTTTTAAACTTCGTCGCCGGTTTTCTTCCGTTCAGAATCAGAACCGCAGACATGGAGCAGAACTATTCTGATGAGACCGGTCCAGCTGCTAGCGGTTAGCGGTTAGCTCCTGGGCAGGCTGATTTCAGGCCTCTTACACCAGTTACACACTAACAGCCCAGCAGTGACACCTGGTGGCAGACTTTAGACTGACTGACCTTCAGAGTTTCTGTTTTTGTGACCTCAGGACATCTACAACAGGGAGGCGGAGTCAGAGGTGTGGAAGACCATCCGGTCTGAGGTCCGATTGGTTCACGTTAACACATCGGCGGTCCTCAAGGTGCGAACAGGAAGCGGCGTCCCACTTCAACCACAGCAGAACAGCAGCACTGAGCCCAGTGTGTCTGTGTTGCAGCTCAGCGGCGTGGCTCTTCCAGACTGGGCTTTCCATCAGCTGGAGGTCGTCGCAGAAAAACTGCAGAAGGGACACGGCAGCAGTTTGGCCTGGACCGTGGAGGAGCACCGATACGGAACCAGTAAGTCCTGCTCCTCTGGGCAGATCCTGAGGAACCTGACCGCTTCATCGTGTCCCTCAGCAGCAATCCCTCACACTGAGCAGGGGAGAGGAAACTACCTCCAGCAGGTAGGAAGCTGCAGCAGAACCAGCACCAGGCTCAGTGAGAGCCGCCATCAGAGACAGAAACACCCAGCGGCGCCGATCCGGCAGCAACAGCAGAGATGGCTGCGTGTAGCAGAGAGAGCAGCTGAGATGTTGGCTAGCATTAAGGGCCGTTAGCGTAGCATCAATGGCTCCGTCAGTCTCAGCAGGACCAAGGTTTCATCCATAGAGCATGAAGCTGAGCTAAAGGCCCCTGCAGGAAGTCAGAGCTTATTTTCTAATCCCAAACCGGCCCCTAAGCTCCAACCCTCAGTTTAAGGTTGGTCTTAACCGCAAAGCCCGGTGGACCCCCCAGCCCCAAACAGTCTGCATCAGTGCAGGTCAGCGCGGCCAACTCCTCAGCAAGAAAAGTTTCCTATTTACTGTCCTAAAAGGCCCTCGATGATGTCATCGCCTAATTCTGGCCGCCTGCAGCGCAGAGAGAGAGAGGATAGCAGGGAGGAAGAAACATGAAGAGTTTTATAGAGACTTTCAACATAGAATTCAGCCATTTAGATCCACACTCCATAGAAATAGGTGGCATGAATGCGCCATTAGGGGTTTGACAACCCGTAAAAAAGTAGCAGCAGTGCAAAGACACACAGAAGGAGGCAGCAGAAGGATTATGTCGTTTTTTATGTGAGAAATCGCCGTCAGCTAAAAATGATTTTCATGATTTACTTTTCCAATCTAGGCGGGATTAACAGCAGCGTTTCAGTCTCTACCTGATTCCACCTGGAAAGGTTTACTCTCTGCTGCTGTACCACACCTGCTCGGGGCTCCGCCCCTTCTTATGACATCACCATATGGCAACTCCCCTCAGACAAACTGCATCACACCCGTTTCTGAAGGTTCACATCTCCTCTAGAGGCTCAACATATTATTATTTGACATTTCATCAGCGATCTAAATTAGCTGAAAGTAGAAAACAATCATCCGTCTGGAAGGAAAGACGGACTGAGCTCTGCTATTTAACAAGGAGACGCGAAAAGTTTCAGTTTGTTTTTATTCCTTTTTATTCAGATCTGAGGTCAGAGGAGGACAAATGGAACATTTTAAAAATGACTTTCATAGAGATTTTAGACAAATAAACATTTATTCTACTCGTAGAAAACAAACGGTTGTTGTTGACACAAAGTTAAAAGTAGTGTAGCTTAGTATGGCTAACTGAGCGAGCTAAAAGAGGCTAACCTGTTAGCTACTGCTAGCCACAGCGCTACCCAATTCTTTCAATTCTATTCAGTTTATTTCTATAGCTCCAATTCACATCATGTCATCTCAGGTCACTTTATAGATCCAGATCAACCAGATCATCCAGTCAGATTGATTCAAAGTTTTCTATCTAAGGAAAACCAGCTGATTGCATCGACTCATTGACTCTTCAGCAATCCCTCACACTAAGCATGCTTGTAGCGACAGTGGAGAGGAAAAACTCCCTTTGAACAGGAAGAAACCTCCAGCAGAACCAGGCTCAGTGTGAGCGGCCATCTGCTGAGGCCCACTGGGGTTCAAGGAGACAGAAGCAGACATAGAAAAAGAAGCATAGATACAAAAGGTCAACCAGCTCCACAGGCGGCCCCGTCCAGGAAACACACAGCCAGGCAGACGAGCTCCGAGCCAGCTCCCATGTCAGAGGATGAAGAGAGCACATCCAGTTAGTCACAGTCAGAGAAACAGGACTACACTGGAAAACAGGCCAAGCTCCAACATCTAGAAACAAAGGTGTTGATGGCAGCAGCACAGCTGATATTTCTCTCCAGGATGGAGTCACAGCCAAACAGGAACAGACCAGATGAAGCTACTATGAGAAAAAGCAGAGAGAGCAGAACGTTAGAGATTGAACTAATAGATTCTGCAGAGTGGGAGAATAGAGATAGAATGAAGCAGAATGATGAAAAAGGGGTCCCTATGTCCTCCAGCAGTCTAAGCCTATAGCAGCATATTTCACTGTCTAACAGTTACTTTGTTCACCAGGAACTGATTTTTTCAGTCATTAAACACGCTAACGCTACAGATGCTCCCGACTTGGAACACAGACGCTGTGTGATGTTATCGTTGTCTGGGCAACCACAACGATTTACATCATGTGGCAACGTTCAGCCAATCATGTAGCGTGATGTCACAGACATGAAGCAGGACCCGAGCAGATCTGGAAGCTGCAGCGGTTCTGCATGAAGACAGAGAGGTTTAAGGTGCCCTCACTCAGGAGGGCAGAGTTCAGTGCTTTTATTTCCATTTGCAGAAAAAAAAGTCACAAGATTTGGTTCTAAGTACTATTTTGAACTAAAGGAGTAAATGCAACGACTCTGGAGCAGACCTGCTGGGATCCGGCAGCAGGTGAAACAATGAACTAATGACAGAAAATCACGAGTTAGGAAGAAGAAAAAGACGCCATTATATCCTAGAGGGAAGGTCGAGTTTGAAACGGTTTCTCCTCTGTCGCTGTTGTCACATTACGATCTCCCATGATGCATCACCTGCAGGTCAGGAGCAGAAGGAGCGGGAGGCGGAGCTTCACTCTCCGACGCACATCAACGTGGACCGAAAGATCTCCTTCTGGTCCAAGTTTATAGAGCTTCAGGTGAGACAGCGGACGCATCATCTCATGATGACCTCACTTCTATCTGATGATGTAATGCTGTGATGTCACTGCAGTGGAAGATGCTGACTGTGAAACAGGAAGAGTCTGAACACAAGTACAGCTCATCCCCTTTGGAGTGGGTCACCATGGAAACCAACATCGCCTACTGGCTGCACGCCTCCACCAACGTAACCCACACACACTTGTCTCTCTATCTTTGTGGGGCCTTCCATTCATTTCTACAGCCTGACCGTGACCCCTGACCCTAAAACTATTGGGGTCCAGGCATGGGGCCCCACAGTTGGGTTAGCTTAGGGTTAGCACAGGGTTAGCCTAGGGTTAGCTTAGAGTTAGATATATGATGGTAAAGGGTTAGCTTAGGGTTAGACATATGATGGTAAAGGTTAGCTTAGGGTTAGCATAGGGTTAGCTTAGCGTTAGATATATGATGGTAAAGGGTTAGCTTAGGGTTAGCTTAGGGTTAGACATATGATGGTAAAGGTTAGCTTAGGGTTAGCATAGGGTTAGCTTAGCGTTAGATATATGATGGTAAAGGGTTAGCTTAGGGTTAGACATATGATGTAAAGGTTAGCTTAGGGTTAGCATAGGGTTAGCTTAGCGTTAGATATATCATAGTAAAGGGTTAGCTTAGGGTTAGCTTAGAGTTAGACATATGATGGTAAAGGTTAGCTTAGAGTTAGCATAGGGTTAGGTTAGCGTTAGATATATGATGGTAAAGGGTTAGCTTAGGGTTAGCCTAGGGTTTGATATATGATGGTAAAGGGTTAGCTTAGGGTTAGATATATGATGGTAAAGGGTTAGCTTAGGGTTAGACATATGATGGTAAAGGGTTAGCTTAGGGTTAGACATATGATGGTAAAGGGTTAGCTTAGGGTTAGACATATGATGGTAAAGGGTTAGCTTAGGGTTAGACATATGATGGTAAAGGGTTAGCTTAGGGTTAGACATATGATGGTAAAGGGTTAGCTTAGGGTTAGACATATGATGGTAAAGGGTTAGCTTAGGGTTAGCATAGGGTTAGCTTAGCGTTAGATATATGATGGTAAAGGGTTAGCTTAGGGTTAGCCTAGGGTTAGCCTAGGGTTTGACATATGATGGTAAAGGGTTAGCTTAGGGTTAGACATATGATGTAAAGGGTTAGCTTAGGGTTAGCATAGGGTTAGCCTAGGGTTAGATATATGATGGTAAAGGGTTAGCTTAGGGTTAGCTTAGGGTTAGATATATGATGGTAAAGGGTTAGCTTAGGGTTAGCTTAGGGTTAGATATATGATGGTAAAGGGTTAGCTTAGGGTTAGATATATGATGGTAAAGGGTTAGCTTAGGGTTAGACATATGATGGTAAAGGGTTAGCTTAGGGTTAGCATAGGGTTAGCCTAGGGTTAGATATATGATGGTAAAGGGTTAGCTTAGGGTTAGATATATGATGGTAAAGGGTTAGCTTACGGTTAGCTTAGGGTTAGATATATGATGGTAAAGGGTTAGCATAGGGTTAGCTTAGCGTTAGATATATGATGGTAAAGGGTTAGCTTAGGGTTAGCCTAGGGTTTGACATATGATGGTAAAGGGTTAGCTTAGGGTTAGACATATGATGGTAAAGGGTTAGCATAGGGTTAGCCTAGGGTTAGATATATGATGGTAAAGGGTTAGCTTAGGGTTAGCTTAGGGTTAGATATATGATGGTAAAGGGTTAGCTTAGGGTTAGCTTAGGGTTAGATATATGATGGTAAAGGGTTAGCTTAGGGTTAGCTTAGGGTTAGATATATGATGGTAAAGGGTTAGCTTAGGGTTAGCATAGGGTTAGCCTAGGGTTAGATATATGATGGGAAAGGGTTAGCTTAGGGTTAGACATATGATGTAAAGGGTTAGCTTAGGGTTAGCATAGGGTTAGCCTAGGGTTAGATATATGATGGTAAAGGGTTAGCTTAGGGTTAGCTTAGGGTTAGATATATGATGGTAAAGGGTTAGCTTAGGGTTAGCTTAGGGTTAGATATATGATGGTAAAGGGTTAGCTTAGGGTTAGATATATGATGGTAAAGGGTTAGCTTAGGGTTAGACATATGATGGTAAAGGGTTAGCTTAGGGTTAGCATAGGGTTAGCCTAGGGTTAGATATATGATGGTAAAGGGTTAGCTTAGGGTTAGATATATGATGGTAAAGGGTTAGCTTACGGTTAGCTTAGGGTTAGATATATGATGGTAAAGGGTTAGCATAGGGTTAGCTTAGCGTTAGATATATGATGGTAAAGGGTTAGCTTAGGGTTAGCCTAGGGTTTGACATATGATGGTAAAGGGTTAGCTTAGGGTTAGACATATGATGGTAAAGGGTTAGCATAGGGTTAGCCTAGGGTTAGATATATGATGGTAAAGGGTTAGCTTAGGGTTAGCTTAGGGTTAGATATATGATGGTAAAGGGTTAGCTTAGGGTTAGCTTAGGGTTAGATATATGATGGTAAAGGGTTAGCTTAGGGTTAGCTTAGGGTTAGATATATGATGGTAAAGGGTTAGCTTAGGGTTAGCATAGGGTTAGCCTAGGGTTAGATATATGATGGGAAAGGGTTAGCTTAGGGTTAGCTTAGGGTTAGATATATGATGGTAAAGGGTTAGCTTAGGGTTAGCTTAGGGTTAGATATATGATGGTAAAGGGTTAGCTTAGGGTTAGCATAGGGTTAGCCTAGGGTTAGATATATGATGGGAAAGGGTTAGCTTAGGGTTAGCTTAGGGTTAGATATATGATGGTAAAGGGTTAGCTTAGGGTTAGCTTAGGGTTAGATATATGATGGTAAAGGGTTAGCTTAGGGTTAGCTTAGGGTTAGAAATATGATGGTAAAGGGTTAGCACAGGGTTAGCTTAGGGTTAGCACAGGGTTAGCTTAGGGTTAGATATATGATGGTCTGCCATCAGTGGGCCATCAGTTATCTGATGGTTGACATCCGTTCAGTGTCAGTTCATCATCAGTCGTGGCGTCTAGCTGATCCTAAACCTCTGAGTAACTTCTGCATAACTTATCCAGAAATTCTCTCCAACATATCAGCGTATCTGCCGTGTTCCAGGCGAGCGATGAACGTGTTTCTAACTTCCAGCTACTGTATAATGGCGTATTGGCAGCGTTTTGGTATAAAGGGGGTTCACAGGTTGAGATCCAGGTTGACCATGACCTGGATGACTGCCCATCTTGACAGATGGGTCACCTTAGAACCTCTAACTCTCCACAATAAACACAGCCCCCAATTGTAGCTCCACCCCCTTCCTGTGTATCTGAGCCCTGATTGGCCCGCTGTCTTTCAGGCTCAGATCCATCTGATTGGTAATCCAGTGTCGTGGGGCGTGGCCAATCTCAGCCTGCTGGCCTATCAGCTGCTGGCGATGGTGTACATGCTAAGGAGGAGGCGGGGATTTAAAGACCTGCCTGATGGTACCGTTTCCTCCCAATTCCAGGTTCTGCTGCTGGATCCGGTTCTGGTTCTGACCCGTCTTCCTGTGTCTGCAGAGGTTTGGCAGCGGTTTGTGTGTTTGGGCTTCGTCTGCGTCGGCGGCTGGATGATGAACTTCCTCCCCTTCCTGCTGATGGACAGAACTCTCTTCCTGTACCACTACCTGCCCGCTCTGTGCTACCTGCACCTGCTAAGCCCCGCCCTCCTGGAGCACGTGCACACTCACCTGCTCAGGTAAAAGTCAGGGAGAGTCTGCAGAGCCTGACCTCCTGCTGCCCGGCTCTAACCAATCACAGCCCAGCGCCAGAGGACGAAGGTTCCACCTGCTGAACAGATTCTGTCTGCACCGATGGACCTTCAGGGTTCTGATCAGAACCAGACCCGTTTCAACCTGCTTGTCCTCGGCGCGGGCCGTCCCTGCTTTTACTTTGAAAGTCTGTGTATCTGCTTCCTGGGGAAATGATGGGGGCTCGTCTCTCTGAACCTGTCCTCTTTCTGTCTGCAGCAGCAGGACGCTTCGCCGTGGACTCGGTTTGTGTGCGTCCGCCGTCCTCGTGTCCATCTTCCTGTCCTACTGGTACCTCTGTCCTCTGACCTACGGCAGCCCCGAGCTGTCAGCCAATCAGCTGCTGGCGCTCAAGTGGAGAGACAGCTGGGACATCCTGTACCGCCGGCGCTGAGGGCCACTGAGACACTGAAGCTGTTCTTTACCACCTGATGAGCAGCTCCTGAATGCACCATCAGCCCTGCTCTCATCATGTGACCCGATGATGTCACTGAAACCAACTGAAGCTTTTACTTTGAAAGAGACACAGCTGATTGAAGCTCCGCCCTCTTTAGGGAGAACAGAGGCATCATGAACGAACTACATACTGCTAACCTAATCAGTTTATCTGACTAGTTAATAGTTTAACATAACAGCTAGTTATAGTTTAACCTACGGGTTAATAGATTAAACAACCAGGTTAGGGTTAGCAAACCAACCAACAGTGGAACTAACTAGTTAACCAGCAGGTTTCGCTTCGTTAACTTCTGCTCTTTGGTTAAACTTTAAATGTTTCCTGTTTAGTGGAATCACCTGGCAGCAGGAATGAAAGTTTAGCCTTTTCAGACGGAGATTAGCGGAGCGTCTGATCGTCTAACAGGAGGCTGCTCTCATCAGTCCTTAGAAAACATCAAACAGACGTGTTTATGGTGTTTTTTTATTTAAGGTCTTATTATTTAACCAGATGTTGAATCAAACAGAAGGAGTGAAATGAATGAACTAACCTGTACCTGCAGGGCGGCTCTGATGATCTCTGCTGAGATTAAACTGGATTTTCCTTCCAGTTGTGGTCTGACTGCTATATTTCTACATTTTGGGAATAAATGGACGTGCAGCTTTGTTTCTAGATGTTGGAGCTCGGCCTGCTGCTCAGTGTGCTCTCTAAAGTGATTGACAGGTCGATCCACATATCAGGCATTAGATTGGCCGTGGGTCAGTGAGCCCCCCCCCCCCCGGGCATCAGGCAGGTCAGCTCTGGCGGTAAATGTTTCCACTCACTGCTTCATTCCTTCCATCAGGACCTGGTGGGGCTGCCTCTGCTCTAAATGCACCCAGCTTCTATGGTCCCAGTCCATCACTTCCAGTGCTCCCAGTTCAATGAGCTCCCAGACCATTGAGGGATGGAAAGGGTTAATTCCATGATATCTGTGGCAAAGGAAAAGATTGAATATAAATCATCAGCATGATGGAAGGAGCTGGAAGGTTCCAGAGGGAGCGCTGGGTGTCATAGGACCAGTTAGCAGGCTATAGAATATGCAAACTAGAAAAGCCATCCAACAGGTTCAGATGGTGCAGCTTCGCTTCTAAACCCAGTTAAACTTTCTGTTTATCGTTTCAATAACTTTGCATTTATCTCATCCAGTTAGGGTTCAGTTTAGTTTTTAATCTGAATAAAAGTGTCTAATTTAACTAAAAGGTCATTTTAGAATTAGTTTAGTTCTTTTAAAGGATTGTGACGCGTCAGAGATTATTGTAATATTATCTCTGACTCCTGATTAAAATTACATCTAAGGAGCTTCCTGTTCATTCTGACAGCAGAACTGTGGTCTGATCCAAGATGGCCGCCCCACAGGCCTGGCTCATTTATTTAATTATAAACCGTCATGTACAGCAGGCAGGGTGTCTGCATCAGATGTATGTAAACCAGGAGGAGACGCCTCCATGTCTACAGGACAACAAATAAAAACTATAAAAAATAAAATCACACATTAGGGGCGTCTCATCAGATTATATCGCTCTGCATCCTCTTCTTTGTCCATGAAGTTTAGAGATAAGAAGAGTTTCATGTGAAAAATGGAGAAAGATGGTTTGACTTTTAGAAATTAAAATTTGCCCATGATTATTATTATATTTAGTCTTTCAATTTTCCTTTATTTTCTCCTAAAAATAAAATCTTTCTTAGAGAATTCAGGTAAGTTTTTAATTCTGGGGAAAAGTCAGTAGTCATCATCATCCCATAAAGCTTTGCAATAGAAAACAGTCGATTTAAAATCACAAGATGAACAAATCTGATCATCGATGTCAGAAATTCCTCAGAGGGTTAAACACCTGTAAAGTTTTTAAGGTGGACTTCATTGGGTTTAGGAGGAATGGGAAGATTTAAACACTTTGTTCTAATTTTAACTCTTTCAGAGTTTGAGAAAAATTAGATATAAAATTTGGGTTTGAGACAAAATACTAGTAAATCGTTCCGTAATTCTTGATTATTTAATTTGATTATCTGTGATAGTTTGCCCATGTATCAGAGGTCCAGGCAGAGCAGAGCTTCTGTCATCAGGATTCTCATTAAAACATTCAGCTCTGCATCAAATATTTGGGGAAATAGCTCTAATAATCTTTTAAAATTCACCTTTCTGCATATTATATTTAATTCTGAAGTTTTCATAAGATATAATCCTTCCATTATTGAATAAATGCATCACAGAGCAAACACCTTGTTCTAGTCATGTACCTGCAAAGATTGATTTATTACTGTTATGTTTCAGCAATTCCCCAAAGGAGTTTTATCTGGGCTGTAGTTCTGTTTATAGATTCATCTCCAATATCATCAAATCTGCTGGTGAAAGAAGGAAAGTTTAACGAGTATTTTTTTTATATCAAAGTCACATCTAAGGAGAAAACTGACTCCGCCCAGGTTAGAAAATATTTTACTTGGAATATGGAACCATAATTGATTTATTGTTATTAAAAAAGATGGAAGCCAATTAATTTTTAAGTTCCATTCATGCTGTTAAATTAGCTGGTTTTTCTCCATTAATTAAATGACCTTTTTTATTATAGTGAGTTTTTTGTTTCCATATGAAGTCAAAGTTCCTCCTGTTGATAGAAGTGATGCTGAATCCTGATAAATAAGCAGGTTAGATGAGTCTGGAAAACTTTCTATTTGGTGAGAAATGTTCTTCCCAGAATAGATCAATCTCTCTGAGCCAATTTATTTAAATGAGTTTTATATTAAAGTTTCTCCCAAATATTAATATTTTCTAAGTCATTTTTATTTTTATGCGCACCCAGATATTTAACACTGGATTTTATAGGAATATTAAAAGCAGCAGATATTGGACAGTTTTTAAGAGGCAAAATTTCACATTTGTTTAAATTTAATTTAATTCCTGAAGCCTTTGAGGACGTTTCAATTAATTTAAGGATTTTGGGAATTTCATTCAGGTTATTGAAGAAGGAGGTTGTGTCATCTGCTAGCTGACCAATAGAAAACTTTCCTTCCACCGATAATTTACCGTTTTTAATTGAAATGGAAAACGTTTCTGCAGCAGCAATAAATAGCAGAGGAGAAATTAAACCTGCTTTTATTCCTTTGTTGATGCTAAATCTTTAACCCACTGAACTGTTTGTATCTTTATAAAATGTTTTAATTTCATTAATAAATTTAATCCCAAACCCAAATAAATCAAAAGCTTTGAACATAAATTCATGTTCTATCATATCAAAGACTTTATAAAAGTCTAAAAATAACACAACGCCTTCATGTTCCATTTAATGGTTATATATTAAATCCAGAATAAGGCGGATGTTATTATGTATGGAGCAGCTTTTATAAATCCAGATTGAGTGTCGGAAATAATTCGAGATATGCCTGATTTTAAACTGTTTGTAATCATTATTTAATGGAGTTATTTGTCTTAAATGATCAAGAAGTGTTTGATCTTTTCCAGCTTTGGGAATGAGCGTGATGACAGCTTGTTTCCTAGTGTGGGTGAAGCAGCCGTGCTCTAATAGTTCAGTAAACGTTCCAAACACAAGCCCAAAAATGACTTGTTGGACCACCGCAGCCTGGAGCTTTGTCCTTGGAGAAAGAAGCCAAAGCTTTATCCAGTTCCTCTGGTGACGCCTGCTTCACATGTCTGCTTAAAATTCTCATCAATTTCTGGAATCAAGTGTTGAATAGAATGATAGAATGTTTCTGCCATGGAGGTATTATATGCAGAAGAATATAAGTTGCTATGAAAAGTAAACATTTCTCTGGAAAAATTAAACTATCAGATTTATAGTCCCCCCCCCCCACCCTGCAGATCTTTTAGAATCTGTCCTTAAATTCCAGTCAAACCCATTTCCACAGTAACAGATAAAAACCTTTAGATAAATCAAACATTACCGCCACGTATCTGACTCTATAACCATTAAAACAACTATTTTCATTCATTTCAGACGGAACTATTCACAGACTGGATTATATTAAACTGAACTTCCAACATTCGCCACTGTTCGGCGCCATTTACCTTTGCGCCGAACAGTGGCGAATGTTGGAAGTTCAGTTTGGCTGTAATTTCAGGACATTTGTAATATATCTGCAGGGGGGGGGCTATAAATCTGATAGTTTTATTTTTTATTGCTTCTTTGCACAATATGCTTCACCAAGTATTTTTTGTTGTTGAATATTAGAGATTTTGCAGATATATTTTTAATACATTTTTTAGATTTACTTCTATCTTTCTAGCCCTTTTATAGAATAGAATAGAAAATCCCTTTATTGTCCCACAATGGGCAGATTTACAGCAGCAGAAAGATTATTGAAAATGGTCACACAATAGAATAAAGAATAACATAATAGGGAAGAGTTAAAATATAAACAATAAAATCCTGTAAAGTGTTTTAACAATATAAAACTGGAGAATAAATAACCAATATGCAGCTATGGACATTTTTACAGTAATTAGAAAATAGCAGCAACATCAGAGATGTGCAGAATGACAGCAGCAGGTTATTGAACTGACTAAGGTTTCTATCATTACATTTGATTGATTAGTTCCCGCTGGTTGGAACATTTATTCCACTCTGGATTAAATCAGTCTTTGTTCACTTTATAATAAAAGAAGAAATAAATAAACAGTTTTGAAAACTTCGGTTTTCATCTTTTTTTGCTTTGTGTGTCAACGTTTACGGTTGCTAAGCAACAGAGCATACAGCGGTAAAAGCCGCCGAAGGGTAGACCTGTTCGAATTCAAAGACTAAACTCTTCCGGTCTCCTTATTTTCAAGGTCTTCGAAGGATCCAGTCTAGGTAGACCGCGTCCTTGGAGGACACGTCCTAGGTTTTCGAACAGAGCCCGTGTTTCTAGTCACCTCCTTAGAACCTCACCGCTCCTGTTCTCATTGGATGTTGAGTCGGAACAGGAGGGGCTCTGATGAACTCAACAGCCAATAGGAGCCGGGTCCCACCCCACTTGCTTATGACGTATTTCCGCCTGCTAGCTGGATGCTACCGTGTTTGCTTCAGGATGTAATAAAGTTTGGTCCGAACTAGAAGAGAAGCCGGAAGCAGGTTTCTGGACTCTTTTCTGTTCAATAATCGCCACTGTTGTTTCCGAGGAACCAGAACCGAATCCGAACCGGCAAACGTCAGGACCGCGTTTCTGCTGCCGCGCTGCCTGATGGGTAAAATGCTAACGACCAAGCGGCGGTGATTGGTGGAGACGGAGACACCTGAGGATCGATTGGTTCCGGTGGGCCGAACCCGGGAGGACCGGGTCCACCTCACAGGTACCCTTCTAGACTGGAGGTCCAGAGGAGCATCCGAAACAGAACCTTCTGGACCAAACCAACTGCCAGGTAGGACCTCCCAACCCCCCCAGCAGCTTCTACACACTCTACAGGGTTCTGATGATGTGGGTCAGAAAACAGAAGCTAGAAGAAAAGGTCAGAGGTCAGAAACTGCAGTCACAATCTGGGTTTGTTCTGCAGCCTGGTGGACAGAACCACATAGAACAGCATAGAACAGAACCACATAGAACAGCATAGAACAGAACCACATAGAACAGAACCACATAGAACAGAACAGCATAGAATGGAACCACATAGAACAGAACCACATAGAACAGAACAGCATAGAATGGAACCACATAGAACGGAACCACATAGAACAGAACCACATAGAACAGAACAGCATAGAATGGAACCACATAGAACGGAACCACATAGAACAGAACCACATAGAACAGAACAGCATAGAACAGCATAGAACGGAACCACATAGAACAGCATAGAACAGCATAGAACGGAACCACATAGAACAGAACAGCATAGAATGGAACCACATAGAACAGAACCACATAGAACAGAGCAGCATAGAACAGCATAGAACGGAACCACATAGAACAGAACCACATAGAACAGAACAGCATAGAACGGAACCACATAGAACAGCACCACATAGAACAGAACAGCATAGAACAGCATAGAACGGAACCACATAGAACAGAACCACATAGAACAGAGCAGCATAGAACAGCATAGAACGGAACCACATAGAACAGAACCACATAGAACAGCACCACATAGAACAGCACCACATAGAACAGAACAGCATAGAACAGCATAGAACGGAACCACATAGAACAGAACCACATAGAACAGAGCAGCATAGAACAGCATAGAACGGAACCACATAGAACAGCACCACATAGAACAGAACAGCATAGAACAGCATAGAACGGAACCACATAGAACAGAACCACGTAGAACAGCACCACATAGAATAACATAAAATAGAACATAGAACAGCATAGAATAGAACAGAATCACATAGAACAGCATAGAATAGAACAGAATCACATAGAACAGCATATAATAGAACAGAATCACATAGAACAGCATAGAATAGAACAGAATCACATAGAACAGCATAGAATAGAACAGAATCACATAGAACAGCATAGAATAGAACAGAATCACATAGAACAGCATAGAATAGAACAGAATCACATAGAACAGCATAGAATAGAACAGAATCACATAGAACAGCATAGAATAGAACAGAATCACATAGAACAGTATAGAATAGAACAGAATCACATAGAACAGCATAGAATAGAACAGAATCACATAGAACAGCATAGAATAGAACAGAATCACATAGAACAGCATAGAATAGAACAGAATCACATAGAACAGCATAGAATAGAACAGAATCACATAGAACAGTATAGAATAGAACAGAATCACATAGAACAGTATAGAATAGAACAGAATCACATAGAACAGTATAGAATAGAAACAAACAAAGCCGAGCAGAACCGCCTCACATCTTGATCCAGAAACAGAAACCAGGATCTCGGATGAAAGGGTCTTTAAGGTTCTGGTTCTGGCCTCGGAGGGGGTGGAACAGAACCAGATAGATCCATTCAGACTAGACCTGCAGTAGAACCAGAACCAGGCAGGCCTCTCTGAGCGGACTGTCTCTGTCTTCCAGAAATGGCGGAGAACCTGTCGGCCCAGAGGGACCGCATCCAGAGGCAGGTGGAGGCGCTGGAGCGGCGCCTGGCCGTGACCCAGGAGGAGCTGGACCTGCTGAGCAGTGAGACCGGTACCAGCTGGGTCCTGATCCATCGGACCCCCCATCAGACTCTCTGATGAACAGGAAGGAAACGGTTCTGCGTCTCTGACTCCGCTTCTCTCTCTCTCTGCTTAGATGGTGAATCAGACGGGGAGAACCAGGTGGGACAGGTGAGACAGAACACCCAGAACCTCCTGTTGGCGGTCCGGTACGGGACAGAACCTGACAGGTCTGTGTGTCCAGAGTCCAGCGGACCTGCTGGCCCAGAGAGAGAAGATCCAGACGGAGATCCAGAACCTGGAGGACATGCTGGGTCCGATGAGCGGCTCTGGCAGTGACGGCAGCAGCTCCAGCGACGAGGTCGGTACCGGTCAGGACCCGGTGGCAGGGTTCTGGTTCTGGTGTGACTGGTGTGTTCTGTCCACAGAGCGAGCTGGACCTGTCTCCGTCTGTGGACTCGTGTCTCCAGCTGAACCTGGTCTACCAGCAGGTGGTCCAGGAGACGTTGGCCCACCTGGAGACGCTCCGGACCCGCAACCAGAAGCAGCAGGTGAGGACGGGCCGCTCCAGAACCCCAGGACATTCCAGAGTTCTAGTCCAGGGCCGGGTCTACTCCACATGGGCAGAACCGGACCCACAGAACTCTGCTGGGTCTTGGTGGCCCAGATAGAGATCAGAATCGCTGAAGATGCTCAGAATCCATTTCCCTCCTTGGCTTTGTTCTAGGGCTGGGCGATATAGAAAAAAAGCTTATCGATAAAAAAAATGCATATTGATCGATATCGATAATTATTGAAAAGATTTGAAACCATATTTTATGTGCAGCTCTGCCTGGACTTTTTATAATATTGCTAAATGATTTAATTTTAATAAAGAACACAAACACAGACTTCCAATTAAATCTTTATTCAACCAACTTTTTTAACCATAACAGAATTGTTTTAAAGAAAAATAACTTAAGAGACCTGAGTTATGTTATTAAATACTGACAAAGAATAAACTAAAGTGACCAGAAAAGTGACCAAAATAAATATAACAGATAAATAAATGCCCCCCCCCCCCCCCCCCCCCACCCCCGTTTCCTGCTTTAACCTGAGTTATTACTTTGAAGTTTCTGGCCCCTCAGCATTTTTATCTCAATTGTTACAACTCCGTGGGAAACTGCCCAGAACTGAAAATATATATATAAATATTTTCCCGAAATTCCTGAAGATTCCTCGGAGGAGAGCGGCCCCGGGGCCTCCACAGCTCGTACTCCTGCGGCTGTGAGCGGCTGAGATGATAAAAAAAAAAAAAGTTGGTTGTGTTATCAGACTGGTTTCACTGGTTCCCGACACATTTTACAGATGACTGGTTTGTTTTTTGTCCGACTTGCCATGACCGAAATACTGCCAGACTGCCGAACTACAGAAACCTTCTTTGGAACAATTTCCTCCGCCTCTCCTGCTGCGACATCTTCATGTGCTCTGTGTTGTGGTTTGAGAGGGCGGGGCTTGGTGACGGCGTGCCTGGGTCCGCGATTGTGATTGGTTGGGAGGAAGCAGTTACTAGCATAAACCTACATGCTAGGCTACAATGAGAAGGAAGGAAAACTGCGTTTCTTTTTTATCGAACTTTTATCGACTCTCTTTTTTTCTATTGCGCCACACGTCTATCGATCGATATATATCGTTATTGAATTATCGCCCAGCCCTACTTTGTTCTCACATTAAATGTAGACCAACAGGTGGACCCACAGGTGGACCCACAGGTGGACCCACAGGTGGACCCACAGGTGGATCCACAGGTGGACCCACAGGTAGATCCACAGGTAGATCCAAAGGTAGACCCACAGGTGGACCCACAGGTAGATCCACAGGTGGACCCACAGGTAGATCCACAGGTGGATCCACAGGTGGACCCACAGGTAGATCCACAGGTAGATCCACAGGTAGACCCACAGGTGGACCCACAGGTAGATCCACAGGTGGACCCACAGGTGGACCCACAGGTAGATCCACAGGTGGATCCACAGGTGGACCCACAGGTGGACCCACAGGTAGATCCACAGGTGGATCCACAGGTGGACCCACAGGTAGATCCACAGGTAGATCCACAGGTAGACCCACAGGTGGACCCACAGGTAGATCCACAGGTAGACAACCAGGTGGACCCACAGGTAGATCCACATGTAGACCAACAGTTGGATCCACAGGTGGACCCACAGGTAGATCCACAGGTAGATCCAAAGGTAGACCCACAGGTGGACCCACAGGTAGATCCACAGGTAGACAACCAGGTGGACCCACAGGTAGATCCACAGGTAGACAACCAGGTGGACCCACAGGTAGATCCAAAGGTAGACAACCAGGTGGACCCACAGGTAGATCCACAGGTAGACCCACAGGTGGACCCACAGGTAGATCCACAGGTAGACCCACAGGTGGACCCACAGGTAGATCCACAGGTAGACCCACAGGTGGACCCAATGGTGGACTCCAGCAGGTTTGCACTTAGGGTCATTTACTGAATAAGTTGACTCTCAGGCCACAATGCTAGTTATTTCTAAGCGTAGACGGGGAGCTAGCTTGGAAAGCAGGATGACCTGTTATGGGCCTTTCAGATAGGAAGCGATTTGCGCAAATGCGCTGAACCCCGCGGCTAGCGCTGCGCCGGCTGGGTTGCCGGGTCTAGTCATTTGTTTGTTGTTCCAGCTTTTGGTCAGCAGCAAATATGTATCTGACCCGTGCTAAGAAGCAAGCGCTAGCACTAGCCCTGCTAGTTCGAAGAAAAAGAGCAGCAAGGAAGAAGAGGCTGTGGGTGCACGAAACCCTCAGGTCCAGAGAGCAGCTTGGGGAGTTCCGGCTTGTGAAAGAGCTCCGTTTTCACAGCGACCGGTTCCAGGTCTACTTTCGGCTCAGTATGGAGCAGTTTGAAAGTTTGCTGGGGAGAGTCGGACCAAGGATCTCAAGGATCCATACAAATTACCGGGAGCCAATTTCTGGAGGAGCAGCAGTTCTACTCTGAGTCCTGAGCTCCTCACCCTAAGCTTTTCCTCCATTTTGCTTCCTGGTCTTTCCAGCCGATGGCCCGGTTTCTATTGGCCACGCGTGCATTCGTCACGGTGCGCCGCGGCGAGCTCGCGAAGCGGTGCGCTACGCTGTGCCATTGAAAAGAATGGGTTTCACAGCGCAGCAGTGCGGTCGTCGCAGCCTGTCTGAAAGGCCCATTAGACCAAACTGACGGACGGTCATGTGACCAGTGCGCCTCACTGCGGCTGCAGGTGGATCAGAGCACCGTCTGAGGCGGGTCATGGCCTCCATGGATCCAGATGGTTGCTGGTTGGGAGGTTTTTACCCGCCTGCAGCAGAGCGAGTGGATTGCTGCCTCTGTGGGTGTTGATCGTTAGGAAGAGGAAACACTGATGGATGCGCAGACGGTGGTTTGTATTTCAGCTGCTTTGACTGACCAGTGATGGACGTGTCTGCAGCTGCAGCAGAGAGCGGTTTGCATCTGATAGCAGGAACATCTTAAACCTGCCTGGAAGTCTGCCTGCCTCCGCTCTGGTCCCCCCCTCTCTAATCACAGGTACCGCCTTTGTGCCTGCAGAGGGAGCTCCAGGCCCAGATCTCTGGACCAATCAAAGCGTCCTCCAAGGAAGGCCCCGCCTCCTCCAGAGAAGGTCCCGCCTCCTGCCACCAGCATCCCTCTAAGATGTTCCTGGGCAGCTTCTTGAAGCCGTACTTCAAGGACCGGCTGACAGGACTGGTACCTACCGCCCCTCCATAACCCGCAGACTGACCCGGTGTCAGCAGCGGCCCAGTGACTGTTTCTGTGGTTCTGACCAGGGTCCACCAGCCAACCCGGAGGCCAAGCTGAAGGCGCTGAGGATGACGGGATGTCTAGACGACAGGAAGCTCAGGATAAGAAGATGTAGGAGGAAAATTCTTAGAAAACATGGTTCTGATGTAATGTAACGGGTCAGAACCTGGTTCTGCTCTGACCCGCTTCTCTAATGAGTCTGTCTGTGTTCAGGGGACAGCTGGCAGAAGACCCTGCTGATCCACTCGGTGACCAGGGACCACCTGAGGAGGGTGATGCAGCCCAAGCTGTCCAGGTACCAGAACAGAACCTGCTCCTCTGGGTCCTCCTGTCAGAGTCCGATTGGGTTTACGGTCCTTCTATACCCCCCCCCCCCCCCACAGGTTGGACTTCCTGTGCAAGAAGCTGTCCTCGGCCCAGGAAGCAGAAAGACAGCAGCTCATGGAGCAGATGGACAGCTTGGAGAAGGAGATCCAGCTGCTGAGGTGAGACGTTTAAACCCAGACCCATCTAACCCGGGCCAGAACCGTTTCATTTCCCTAGACCCATCTAACCCGGGCCAGAACCGTTTCATTTCCCTAGACCCATCTAACCCGAGCTGAACCCGGGCCAGAACCGTTTCATTTCCCTAGACCCATCTAACCCGGGCCAGAACCGTTTCATTTCCCTAGACCCATCTAACCCGGGCTGAACCCGGGCCAGAACCGTTTCATTTCCCTAGACCCATCTAACCCGGGCTGCGGGCCAGAACCGTTTCATTTCCCTAGACCCATCTAACCCGGGCTGAACCCGGGCCAGAACCGTTTCATTTCCCTAGACCCATCTAACCCGGGCTGAACCCGGGCCAGAACCGTTTCATTTCCCTAGACCCATCTAACCCGGGCTGAACCCGGGCCAGAACCGTTTCATTTCCCTAGACCCATCTAACCCGGGCCAGAACCGTTTCATTTCCCTAGACCCATCTAACCCGGGCTGAACCCGGGCCAGAACCGTTTCATTTCCCTAGACCCATCTAACCCGGGCTGAACCCGGGCCAGAACCGTTTCATTTCCCTAGACCCATCTAACCCGGGCCAGAACCGTTTCATTTCCCTAGACCCATCTAACCCAGGCCAGAACCTTTTCATTTCCCTAGACCCATCTAACCCGGACCAGAACCCGGACCAGAACCCGGACCAGAACCGTTTCATTTCCCTAGACCCATCTAACCCGGGCCAGAACCGTTTCATTTCCCTAGACCCATCTGACCCGGGCAGAACCCGGGCCAGAACCGTTTCATTTCCCTAGACCCATCTAACCCGGCTGAACACGGGCCAGAACCGTTGCATTTCCCTAGACCCATCTAACCCGGGCTGAACACGGGCCAGAACCGTTTCATTTCCCTAGACCCATCTAACCCGGGCCAGAACCTTTTCATTTCCCTAGACCCATCTAACCCGAGCTGAACCCGGGCCAGAACCGTTTAATTTCCCTAGACCCATCTAACCCGGGCCAGAACCGTTTCATTTCCCAGAACCATCTCACCCGGGCTGAACCCGGGCCAGAACCGTTTCATTTCCCTAGACCCATCTAACCCGAGCTGAACCCGGGCCAGAACCGTTTCATTTCCCTAGACCCATCTAACCCGAGCTGAACCCGGGCCAGAACCGTTTCATTTCCCTAGACCCATCTAACCCGGGCCAGAACAGTTTCATTTCCCTAGACCCATCTAACCCGGGCCAGAACCGTTTCATTTCCCTAGACCCATCTAACCCGGGCTGAACCCGGGCCAGAACCGTTTCATTTCCCTAGACCCATCTAACCCGGGCCAGAACCGTTTCATTTCCCTAGACCCATCTAACCCGGGCCAGAACCTTTTCATTTCCCTAGACCCATCTAACCCGGGCAGAACCCGGACCAGAACCGTTTCATTTCCCTAGACCCATCTAACCCGGGCCAGAACCGTTTCATTTCCCTAGACCCATCTAACCCGGGCCAGAACCGTTTCATTTCCCTAGACCCATCTAACCCGGGCTGAACCCGGACCAGAACCGTTTCATTTCCCTAGACCCATCTAACCCGGGCAGAACCCGGGCCAGAACCGTTTCATTTCCCTAGACCCATCTAACCCGGGCTGAACCCGGGCCAGAACCGTTTCATTTCCCTAGACCCATCTAACCCGGGCTGAACACGGGCCAGAACCGTTTCATTTCCCTAGACCCATCTAACCCGGGCCAGAACCGTTTCATTTCCCTAGACCCATCTAACCCGGACCAGAACCCGGACCAGAACCGTTTCATTTCCCTAGACCCATCTAACCCGGGCCAGAACCGTTTCATTTCCCTAGACCCATCTAACCCGGGCTGAACCTGGGCCAGAACCGTTTCATTTCCCTAGACCCATCTAACCCGGGCTGAACCCGGGCCAGGAAAAAAGGGTTTTTTTCCCTAGGGCCATTAAACCCGGGGGGGAACGGGCCCGAAAACGTTTCATTTCCCCTAGGGCCCATCTTAAAACCCGGGGCCGAACCTTTTCATTTCCCCAGGGGCCCATCTTTAAACCCCGGGCCCGAAAAAGTTTTTTTTTCCCCAACCCCTCTAAACCCGGGGAGAAAACCCCCACCAAAAAACCCCTTTCATTTCCAGGACCCCAAACTAACCCCGGGAAAGAACCCGGGCCCGAAAAACCCTTCCCTTTTTCCCCGACCCATCTAACCCGGGTTTAACCTGGGCCCGAAACCCTTTCATTTTTCCCCAGAAACCCCTCTAAATCGGGCTGAACCCGGGCCAGAAAAAGTTTCATTTCCCCTTTACCCCTCTAACCCGGGGTGAAACCCCGGGGCCCGGGGAAACCCTTTATTTCCCTTGGGCCATCTAACCCGGGGTGAAAACCCGGGGCCCGAACCCTTTCATTTTTCCCCCGCCCATCTTAAACCCCGGGGTGAACCCGGGCCAGAACCCCCTTTCATTTCCCTAGGGGCCCTTTTAAAATGGGCTGCAGGACCCAAAAACCTTTTCATTTTCCCCGACCCATCTAACCCGGGTGCGGGCCCGAAACCGGGGTTTTATTTTCCCCAGACCCATTCCCCCCCCCCCCCCCAAACGGGCTTTAACCTGGGCCCGAAAATGTTTCATTTCCAGGGCCCATCTAAAACCCCGGGTGAAAACCCGGGCCCGAAAACCCTTTCATTTCCCGACCCCTCTTCCCGGGCTGAAAACCCCGGGCCCAGAACCGTTTAATTTTTCCCCAGACCTTTAACCCGGGCCCGCGGACAGAAACCCTTTCATTTCCCCAGGGCCCCTCTAAACCCCGGGCCCGCGGCCAATTCCCTTTCATTTCCCTTGAAACCAAACTAACCCCGGGCCGAACCCGGGCCAGGAAAACCGTTTCATTTCCCTAGAACCCCCTTTTAAAACCCGGGCCCGAAAACCCTTTTATTTCCCTAAAAACCCCTCTAAACCCGGCCAGGAAAATTTTCAAATTTCCCCAGAAAAAAACTAACCCGGACCAGAACCCGGACCAAGAACCGTTTATTTTTCCCCGGGCCCCCTCTTTAACCCGGGCCAGAAACCCTTTCATTTCCCAGGGCCCAAACTAAAACCCCGGGGTGAACCCGGGGCCCGAACCTTTTCATTTCCTAGGGCCCATCAAACCCGGGGGTGAAACCCCGGGCCCCCGGGGCCGTTTCATTTCCCAGACCCCTCTAAAAAAGGGGGCCCGAAAACCCCTTTTTATTTCCCTAGACCCATAACCCCGGGCCAGAAAAAGTTTCATTTCCCTAGACCCATCAACCCCGGGGAGGGAAAACCCCGGGCCAGAAACCCTTTCATTTCCCAGACCCCCTTTTAAACCCCCCGGGAAAGAACCTGGGGGCCCGAAACCGTTTTTCCCTTTCCCCAGACCCATCTAACCCCGGGGGTTTAAATGGGCCCAGAAAAAGGGTTTTATTTCCCTAGGGCCCTTACTCGGGGGTGAACCCCGGGCCAGAAACCGTTTTTATTTCCCCAGACCCCCAAACTAACCCGGGCTGAAACCCCGGGCCCGAAACCCTTTCATTTCCCCTAGAACCCCTCTAACCCCCGGGCCAAAAACCCGGGGCCAGAACCCGGACCGAAACCCTTTTTATTTCCCCGAACCCCTTAACCCGGGCCCGAACCGTTTTCATTTCCCCCGACCCCTTGGGCCCGGGCAGAACCCCGGGCCAGAAAAAAGTTTCATTTTCCCCAGACCCAAACTAACCCGGGTGAACACGGGCCAGAAACCCTTGCATTTCCCCGCCCATCTAAAACCCCGGGCCCGAACCCGGGCCAGAAACCCCTTTTCATTTCCCTTTGGGCCCCTCAAACCCCGGGCCCGAACCTTTTCCCTTTCCCTTTGACCCATTAAACCCGGGGCTGAACCCGGGGGCCCGAAACCGTTTTTTAAATTTCCCCAGAAACCCCTCTAAAACCGGGGCCCCGAAAAATTCCCTTTTCCCAGAAAACCTTCACCGGGCTGAACCCGGGCCAGAACCGTTTTCCCTTTCCCTTGACCCAAATTTAAAACCCGGGGGGAAACCGGGCCCGAACGTTTCTTTTTCCCCAAAACCCATCTTAAAACCCAGCTGGGAACCCCGGGGCCCGAAACCGTTTCATTTCCCCCAGACCCCCCCCTAACCCCGGGGCCCGAAACCCAGTTTCATTTCCCTAGCCCATCTAACCCGGGCCCAGAACCCTTTTTTTTTCCCTAGCCCTTTTTAACCCGGGAAAAACCCCGGGCCCGAAAACCCTTTTCATTTCCCTAAGGGGCCCATCTAAAAACCCCGGGGAAAAAACCGTTTCATTTCCCTAGACCCATTTTAACCGGGCCAGAACCTTTTTATTTCCCTAGACCCAAACTTTAAACCCCCGGGAGAACCCGGACCGAAACCGTTTTATTTTCCCTTGGGCCCATCTAAACCCGGGCCCGGAAAAACCCTTTAATTTCCCCAGACCCCATCTAACCCGGGCCCAGAACCCTTTCTTTTCCTTGACCCTAACCCGCGCCGAACCCGGACCGAAACCGTTTCTTTTTATTTGGAAACCCCTTTTAACCCCGGGGGAAAACCCCGGGGGAACCGTTTCATTTCCTAGACCCCTAAACCCGGGGGGAACCCGGGCCAAACCGTTTCATTTCCCCAACCCATCTAACCCGGGTTAAAACGGGCCCGAAAACCCTTTCCCTTTCCCCCGGGCCCCTCTAACCCCGGGCCCCAAAACCCTTTTTATTTCCCTAGACCCAAACTAACCCCCACCCGAACCCGGACCAGAAAATTTCCTTTTTTCCCTAGACCCCTCTAACCCGGAATGAACCCGGGCCAAAAAGTTTTATTTCCCCGCCCATTTTTAACCCGGGGCTGAAAATTTAACCCGGGCCAGAAACCCTTTCATTTCCCCGAACCCCTTAACCCGGGCCCGAACCCGGGCCCGAAACCCTTTTTAAATTTCCCCTAGACCCTTATCCAAAAGGGGTGAACCCCGGGCCCAGAA